TAATGACAATTTTAGAGCTTCAACGAAATTTCGGCTGTCTGTCACTAAAAGAACTTGACCGTAATACGACGCAAGTGTGCGCTGCACTACGCTTATAAGAGAAGCGCGAGATTGGCGACCTCAAAAGTGCGCCGACAGTCGACACAAATAGCGGACAGTAAGTTTGTCCCTGCGCGACCTCTCCCCCGCACCGGACATAAAGGTACACATTTATGACACCACCTTTGGTTGATGCCCTGTTTTAATTGGAAAAAATTGTCATAATTAGCACTTATGTGCAAAGTTTTACTACTTCGGCTTCGCGCGGTGATGTATGACTCGCACTGGCCATGCATTTCTTTGTACTTAATTACGAAACTGTTCAGACGTCTGTTCTGGCCGTTCGCTTTTGCACCGGAAACTCTGTTTACGCACACAGACTTACTTAGTAAGTGCCGGATTTGATGGACATCGACGAGGCAGTGGTTGAGCGTGTCGCAAGGATTTCTGTCTTAATTTCGTCGCTAACATAAGCGGTTACTGTCCAGACCAACAACACGTCGTCACACAATCTGAAAACCAGGTCAAAGAACTGGTCCGACACTCCTCCAACTAATTTGCTCGTGTCGTCGTGTGTGCTGGTGTGTGTGTGTGTGTGTGTGGTGTGTGTGTGTGTTGTGTGTGTGTGTGTGTGGTTTTTTTTGTGTGTGTGTGTGTGTGTGTGTGTGTGTGTGTGGTGTGTGTGTGTGTGTGTGTGTGTGGTGGTGTGTGTGTGTGCTTACTACATACACGTCCTCAAACTGGACTCTTCCGACAAAGAAACACGGGACCAGTACCGGAAACGCCGGGGACTTTTTTACACATTGTGGTTTCCGGTTTACCGGAACGGGGATTTTACTGCTTTAAGGTCCGGACGACACCTGGGGTAGAGTTTCGGGCCCCGGAGGATGAGCTGGATTGAAGGACCATTCCTTCTTTCCGCCACCTTGGAGGGGTTAGGTGCTAGACTCCCCCTGAGTTGTTCAGAAGGATTTCCAGAAATGGAGAGGTATACATCATCGTGTCGCTGCAAGAAGCATGGCACCGGGTACTCCCTTACTCGAGCGCAGGCAGCTAAATTTCCTGCGAAAAAAAGTACACCGGATAACCACGGAGTAGTGTCCGTCAAAGAAGCGAAACGGAAGTCTCCGAGCAGTCAAAGGTCATTCCCACGAGGGTAACCTGAGAGGGAAGAGGGTTCCCAACAAGGTGGTCCCTACGGTGCTTCATAACGCCTCAGCGGTAGCTTTAATCAGGCGGCTTTTAACCAATTTTTTCCGCGAAAAGCCGGCTTAACAGTCTCTTGTCCCATGAATTTTTTACATATGAAAGTATATAATATATATATATAAAGATAATTAGTAAAAGCCGGCAAGCCGTAAGCCAAAAGCCGGTTGACAAAAGGATAAAAGCCAAAGCCGGTTCTTAAAAAGGGTAAGCCGACGTGGGGGATCACAAGTGGTCCACACAGCCCGTCGGGAGGGAGTGTGCGACGCCAGAGTCCCATACTTCTCCGACAGAGGGTAGAGAATTTGCTAAATGCATGCGGTATTAACGAGCGGACCGATTAGCACGTGGTAGACGGCCAGACCGTCTAAGAAGCTGGGTTCCTAGGAGCTGCCGACTGTGGAAGAGAGAAACACAGAGTGCAGCTGGCCGTACTTCTCACCGGAGTTCGCTTACCCTCGTGAGCGTTAGTACCTCTTCTCAAACATATACTTGGCGAGGAGAGTCTCGGCGGTTATTGAAGTACCTTCGCACGCAGCAGCGACTCTCCGGTGTTCATTGTGACGTCAACGCCCTTGGTACAGTGGTAGACGAGATTCGCGCTGACCTGCTGCTCGGTAGGATACGGTGCCATGTTCTTGAAGGCGAAGATGTATACCTTGTCCATTGAGGTCTTTGTAATAGGTCAAGAGGCGAGAACCTAACGACTGCGACGGAGGTGACGAGTAAAGAGGAATGGTCCCTTGAACCAACAGCTGACGAGGGCCGAACCTACCGTCGTCATACCAAAGACCGTATACGCGCGGTGTGGTAGAATCTGGCGCAGCATTCAACGTTTTCCGTATCTACATAGTCCCACAGTTGTTGTCACGGTCCCGAGATGAGCATCTAAAGTAGGGCGGGTTACGCTCCGCTTCGACTCGTGAGCACTGTATGTATCAGCACACCACACACACACACGCATACACAGAGGCACACACACAGACGACATACACAGACAACGCCCACGCACACACAGGTCAGGGAGCCCGAACAACAGTGCCGAGCGACTGTCTCTGCCCATACACGCTACCAGAGCGAGACTTGGGTTCACCGTGTCCGTGTTTTAGTTCACACAAACTCAGACGCACGCAAACACACGGTGGATGTAAGGACAGTTGAATAGGGGTACTCCCTACACACCCCACTCCGATAACGAACAGGCGGAGCCTGTTGTGAATGTCTGCCACATACGCTATAATTTGATCCCTAAGGTCGGCTTATAAAGCCGGCGCTTTTAATAGCCGGCTTTACCAATTTTTTCCCGGGAAGCCGAAGCCGCTTCCCGAAAAATTTTTATAGTGGCTTACAGTCTCTTGCCACAATGCCAAACCAATTCGATAAGCACACACCATACTCATGCGCCGCTAGATACGGCCGAAGAACCTGGTCGAGGCGCGACCGAGTGCGGTTGACAGACCACCATTATAGTATTATACCTCCGGCCTAACGCTAACATCTTGCACAAGTCGACTGAAAGAGCTCCCCACATTGACGTTTCTGAAAGTGGTGAAGCCCTAATGAGTGGTGAAACTTTAGTTTGTGGGGCGCTGTTTATACGCCTCATTCTAGTTTAGTGTCGTGAACTGTCGCCTCTCTGACAAGTCGCGACTGGAAGTACACGAACTACTCTTCTCTCTGTCAAATACCGACCATTTCGTCTCTTCGATTACAAAGTAATTTATTGGAGGGTGAAAAGGAATTAATCATCTGTTCCGACCGAAATAGATCAAGATGGTAAGATGAGATATGGTGAAAGACTTGTTAAAAGTAACACTCAATATAAGTGGTAGAGTCCAATAGTCATCCTTACTTACGTCCTGTCCAGGCCATGGTGGCCTTAGGACGTACAATTATTTGTGGGGCATAACGGCCAAACCGAGGGGCTACGACGGCCATGGCCGTCATGGCCGCCGTGAAAATCCTACCTTGGTCCACAGGCTCGATTGCTCCCTTGGCAAGGAGGACTGACAGCTCCTGGTTTAGGGCGATTTCTTTTGCCGGGTCGCTTATGGTGGTCATTTTGACCCGGTTGAAGGCTGGGGGCCGGCGTCGGAACTGAAGCTTGTACCCTCGGGTTAAGGTGGAAACCACCCAGGGGTCTGAAGCTTGAGCTACCCAGTAGTTGAGCTGCTGCTGGGAGAAATAACCGACAGCCGGCCCCAGATCCTCAGTACCTTGCCCCCCGGCCTCTGGGGGCGACGGTTAGGCACCGGATACCGAGGCTGACTTGGGGGCGAGTTAACAGGACCGTAGCGGGCCGGCCCCCTCGTGGGATACCGAGGCCCCTGGCGGGCATCGGGGTGAGCCGGTGGACGGGAGCAGCCTCGGGAGGCAGATGAGGAGCCTCTAGGCCGACCGGGGGGGGGCATGTCTCTGCGAAGAGCTGAGAACTGTTGCCTGGTCTGACTAGTTTGGACAGTCCGTTCGAGCACCTATACGCCAGCTGAACCGAACAGTTCCCTCGGCTCCACTGGGACAGCACGGAGAGTCCTCCTACATGCCTCTGATAAGGGTGACGAGTCTGGACGAGAGTGAAAAACAGGCGCCCAAGCTCTCTAGAAATCAGAGCAAACGCCTGTAATGAGGCGTCACTGAGGCTGGTAGAGGAAGCGCTAAGAGCATCCTGCTTAGTGAGCAGGTCATCAGTGACCCGACATTGGAGTCGAGGGCACCTGGCCTCCGACCTCAGAGCTTCATCAGGGGAACTATGAGGGAAGCAATGGTAGGCTCAACAGCCGGCGTGTGGTCAAGACCAACTCTTGCCGCATCCTGCATGGCTGCCAAGGCTCGGTCATCGGACGTAAGACTGTAAATAGCCTTAGTGTCCCTCCAGCATGCATGTAACTCCCTCAGATACTCACAAGAGGGAGGAACAGTAAAGGTGGCGGGTGCCGGAAGAACACACTGGCAGGCGCTGTTTTGGGCTGCTGCGCATCCAGCTGCTGGTGAGCCAGTGCCATGCGAATGACGGTACCCATGGAGCCGTCATCTGCCTCCTCCGAGGGATCATGAGCTGAGGTACAGGAGCCAGGCCCAGAAGCATGGGATGGGCTCTCCCCGTCATACTCATTCAATTGAGTGGCTGAAGCTGCCATCGAGAACACACCGTCATCTAGAACCAGCTCAGCCACGGGTGGATCGGGTGCAGCGGCGTGCTCTGTACGGGCACCAGGATGGAGAGCCAAGAGGAGTGACTTCATCTGGGCTAGCTCAGTAGTGAGTAGGTCCACCCTGGAGGACAGCCTATCAGGCTTAGTCCTCTTCTTGGGCGGTGCACCCGCAGCCTCTGCGGCCCAACGCCTAGGATGGGTAGGTTGGGCTGTGCAGAGTCGACTGTGCAGGGGGAAGGCCACCCTCAGTCAGTAGTTCAACCTCGGCTAGTCTAGCAGCTCCTACCGCACGAGGCATGATTGGTGCAATTCATGCACGGGTCCTCCGAAAGGCCCTCCCTCAGATGCTCGAGGCCAAGACAAGAGGGGCAAAGGTCATGGCCATCCTCTGGTTAAAGAGGAGCCATACAGGTGTTAGAGCCGTTAGACCTAGCGATAGCTAGAGCACTCAGCTGACTGTAAATAACTGGGCCAGGAAACAGATATGCAGTGGAGGGGAGTGAGCACAATAGTAGTTAGCTTGAGCGTGAGCACTCTGCTAACTGGGGTGAGAACAATGAAGTCAGTTAATGGTTTTATGCCGTGAGAGGAGAGCGGAAATACTCTCTCCACTAGCGCCGTAGCCTAAGCGAGAGCACTCTGCTAACTGAAGGATGGAACGGGCATTAAACCAACTGTGTGCAGTGAGAGGGGAGCGGAAACACTCTCTTCACTAGCGCTGTAGCAAGTTAACTTTGAGCGAGAGCACTCAGTTAACTGGACGATAGAACAGGTAAGGAAACAACAAATGTATGCGGTGAGAGGGGGGCGGACACGCTCCCTTCACTAGCGCCGTAACAGTTAGCTTGAACGAAAACACTCAGCTAACTGGACGATAGAACAGGCAAGGAACCAAATGTATGTAGTGAGAGGGGGGCGGAGACGCTCCCTTCACTAGCGCCGTAACAGTTAGCTTGAACGAAAACACTCAGCTAACTGGACGATAGAACAGGCAAGGAGCCAAATGTATGTAGTGAGAGNNTGTTTTATGTGAGGGAATGGAAAGTAGCTCAAAGCTAAATCTGGCACTGTTACGTTTGACATATTTAAATGTTTTAAGTGTTCATTACAGTGCATGTCCCTGTCAAATAAACGATTAAATAAAATAACCAATTGTGCGCCGTGAGAGGGGAGCGAAGACACTCTCCTCACTAGCGCTGTAGCAAGTTAGCTTTGAGCGAGAGCACTCAGCTAACTGGGGATAGAACAGGAACTAATTGTATGCGGTGAGAGGGGGGCGGAGAGGCTCCCTTCACTAGCGCCGTAACAGTTAGCTTGAACGAAAACACTCAGCTAACTGGACGATAAAACAGGCAAGGAACCAAATGTATGTAGTGAGAGGGGGGCGGAGACGCTCCCTTCACTAGCGCCGTAACAGTTAGCTTGAACGAAAACACTCAGCTAACTGGACGATAGAACAGGCAAGGAGCCAAATGTATGTAGTGAGAGGGGGGCGGAGACGCTCCCTTCACTAGCGCAGTAACAAATTAGCGAGAGCCCTCGGCTAACTTGTACACAGTTATCTCATTAGCTTGAGAATAGATAGCACAACCAGCGACAATTGGTAGCGATTTCACCGGCTGACGTGCAGGAGCGTCCGCTTTTTACGGGTCCGGAGCTCCTAGGGTCCGAGCGGTGAACACCGCGGTCCCTTCCCTTGGGAGGGCGGACAGCTAGCTCTTCGCAGCCTTAGGAGGACGAGCGTTTTCCTAGCCCGCAGCTCCGATCGAGACGATTACAAGGCTACAGGTAGCGATAAGCTAGAATCTTAATTTTCAATAAGCTAGCTTGGCTTCTACTCAAAAAGTAGTAACCTGCGCAGCGAGAAGATGAAAAAGGACTGAACACGTTGACAACGCCGGAACTTATGCCTTCCGGGGTCATACGAGGTCACACGTGACTTTGTTGATATAAATATTCGACCTACACATGCGCGAGACGGAAGATATCCAGTGCTAAAGCACCGCCTCTGGCGGTCAGTAAGGATGAAATAGAACAAGCTGTTTTCACTTGAAATAAGTACAACAATCTGCCAATAGAACAAGTGAAAGTTTGCTTTGTAAGATTTCTTGAAATAAGATGGGATATTTAGATAAATCAGATTTTGTAATTAGATGGGAGAACTATATTTGAGCAGAATCAGGAAAATGTTGTGTTAAAATATAGGCCTCAAATCTTCAAAGGTGTTCTGTTTTCTGATGTTGGTGATTTTCTAATAACTATCTAAAAAAATATGTGTTTCATCTGAGATACAACTCAAAATAAGATATTTTGACTGAACAAGATGATTGATGACGCATTGTCTAAAAACAAAACCCGATATCTCACTGCAGTGTTACTTAAGTTATTATGTCTTATATCAGGTGTAAAGACATATTCTGACTAGATATTAGACACATATGCAAGATTTCGAGTTTTTGTACTGCATGTATTCATAGTTGTTTTTTTCCACAATATTTTAGATTTAGATTTTTTTTAACACGAGAGACATAAAAGCAATTATGCTTCACCCGTATAACACAGAAAACATTATGCAAGAAAAGAAAATAGAAAATACACAATTCTAGCTCTTAGAAGAATATCTTCTCCAATAGGAGGCCTGACAACATCCGTCTCAACCAATCAGTGATGCCTGGGCTGTGAGCCTTTTTCAAAAGCATGCAATACAGGTTTTGGTGTAGAGCAAGCTGAGGTCTATTTTAAATGTTAGTATTCATACTTTTATGTACACAACAAAGTGTGTTCTTGCATGACCCCATGGTTAAATAAGTCTTTTGAGTACCAGGTGATTCATAACATCACACCTAGCTAGCTTTTGTCACCAGACATTCAAATGAAAATGAAGAAACAGGTGCAGTTACATGTGAACACCGCTGGAAACATTAAAGACCCAAACTGAGAGAGCTTTTAAAATTTTTACATTCTCTAAATGTGTCAGATGACAGAGTGAGGAAACATGGAAGTCTCAGTTGTGTTTTTTTGTGGCTTTTCTCTCATAAATAAGAGGAAACCCTGATGAAACCTGAGCAACCTTATTTCTCAGACATTTTTAACAATAGGCAGCATGTCACTAGATCAGGGATGGGCAACTTGGATGGTGGTGGGGGCCACATAATGACAAATACCATGTATTGTATGTAATTATTAACAAATATACTAAGTCTGACATCTTCATTGACATTTTTCATTGAACATCCTCTAATAAGCTCACTAAACAAATATCAGTTCACAGAAATGTTATTTAATTTTTACAAGTGGCATGTTTGTGTTGAACAGGTTATTTAACAGTGGAATAAAACTATTTTTAAACTATTGGAAAGCACGGAAAATGTGTGTGCATTAAGATGAAACATTGAGATGACATATACAGGAAGTCTTGAACACTAACCCAAACATTAGTTGTCTAACTTGACCCACCCCTCACCCCTCCCCTTGCTACCCAGCTCACTCATATCCACCACAGCAAGTGTAGAAGTGACTCAGACGAGGAGAGGGATGTTCATCAAAAAGCACATCGAAAAGTGGTTCCTACTTTCATGTAAGTATTCTTTTATACATTTACACGACATCTAGTGCACGTCTGTCCGTCTTGGGGAGGGGGCCCCCCTCTGTTGCTCTCCTCAAGGTTTCTTCAATTTAACTGTGGGCTTTCTTTGGGAGTTTTCCCTTGTCAGATGTGAGGGTCTAAGGACAGAGGGTGTCATACAGTACTCATATTCTGTACAAACTGAATGTAAAACATGTGATATTGGGCTATATAAATACATTTTGATCGATTGATGATTGACTTCTGCTTCACTTCCTATCAAACATCCCCAGCTTGTTTTATCTGATGCTCACAATGAACAATGTGTAATCCTTGTTTATGAATTATGCATGCCGTGCCACATTCATTGTGTTTGATTCACTGGAACCCTCGCTTGTAGATTTTCATTAGTTCAAGATTCCAGATTCCAAGGTTTTATTCATTATTGTCATATGCAAAAAGCTACAGTGTAGAAATGGCAATGGAAAAATCTTATGACCTGAGCTCCTCCAACAATCCAACATATATAACATACAAAAATAAAAAATAAAAATAAAAAAATAGTGCAAGTCTATATACATGTAAATATAATAATATGCACAAGAATAGAATAAGAAATAGAAACATTTAAATTAAGACTAAATTCATTAACAATCCTGATTAACTTAAATGGAGGCTAAACCATTATATTCTTAAGATTTCCGTTTGTGTATAATAACAAGTCATGTTGCAATATAAATGTATAAATATTATTTCCCAAATCATTCAGTCAAAAGTTGTTTTGGGTGATGTTTTTGGCTTTTTGTCGCCAGTGTGTTTTCTACATTCTGGCCGTGCACGGGACATTGAATGCAACGTCACAGAGTCTGGAAAGAGGACAGAGTACAGCATCTCAGACGGACATCGTGTCTCTGAGGCCGAGGCACCTGGCTGCAGCTACTCTTGGGCCAACAGCAGTGTAAGTTAGACAAACCAGCGTAGTTTAGCTCAGAGTTTCACTTCTCTGACTAATGTTCAGATTTTTAACAGCAGGAAAATCAATCCCATGTAACAACCTTCTTATTGTGACCATTACATTAATGTGTCAATTTACATATGCCAGAAAACGTTTGCGGATCCAGGCACAGACTCACCTGATGCATTTGAGTTGTTATGTATTGTGCTATGTGAAATTGCCAGCATTGAAAATACCAAAACGTCTTAAACATTTAAAAATGAATTGTATTAATATCACACATTGATGTACAGAATGTAGTACTATCCTCACTTAAACACGCATGTACGTTAGTTTTCTTTTATGGTTTGTGTAATTGTTTCCTTTCTACGATGATTTTAGAACAATGTGCTTGCACATGAAGAGGACAAAGATCCTGAGCTGGTGGTGAAAAACGGCGTCAACAATCTCATAACCTACACATGCTTTGACAATATGGTCTTCAAACGTCTATGCAAATCAGAGGTATTTCACTTATGTGAACAAATATGTTCACATAAGATTTACATAATTTGATAGTGTCTCCCTTCTACTAAAGTAAATCCCTTTGCTTCCTCTTCATAGGGGAAAGGCTACACAGCTTACTGTGCAAGTGAGTACCATTTTGTGTCTTTGAACTCTGTCAGTGAGGGGTTTATCTATTTTTATTGTTACTGTTGTTGCGACCTGGCTCAAAAGGCCACAACAAAAAGGAGACACAACATGTCAACGGGTAGAGAAGGATGTTTATTAAAGAAAGTAATTCAAATTAGCCAAATTCATAGAGTGCAACAAAGTGGAGCAACTGAGAAAACCCGTACTTCATACTCAACCAAAACCCAGGTGTCTGCAGGGGAAAGCAGAGTGCGAACAGAGAGGAGCAGAGAGGCTTTAAAGAACTGCAGGACACCAAACCCAGGTGTCCTGAGTTACTGCAATCAATGCAGCAAGTGCAGCACAGACAGCACAGCCACACCCTCTCCACTGATGAACCCACAGGGGCATCACACTGCTCCTCTACCATTATTATGATGCTCTTGTTGTAAGATGTGACACACACTTACAACACTGAGTTGACATTTAATATGTGAAGGAAACCAAGTTTAAAACACACTGTATTCACAACAACAAACTACGCTGAGTCTCAATGTTTTCAATACATCTTTCTTTTCTGTTTGAGAAACTGTAAATGATATCTCCAAAGTTCTGTAAATATGCAGGAAATTAGATGGTTGAACAAAAATAACACAGACATTTATAGGGGCCTCATTTTCATGTTCTCCTTCTGTGTTTATGATTTCCTCCTGGGTCGTTTCTGATAAGTTAAGTATGATTAATTCAGACAGGAGAGCTGCAGAGAGCATGATGAATGGCTTCATATTCCCGCATGACAAAAACTGAAGTGTTTGCAGTCTCAGTATGAGAAATTAATAAATAAAACAAATAAATATGACCAAGTCTAATTTGCAAAAGTATTTTACTAGAAGACTTTTGAAGGTTTTCCAACTCATGTTGTGCAGAAACTTGTTTGCCTCCAAAGGTCTCACCAGGCTAGCTGTTATCGCTTTTTCCAGTCTTTCCAGTTTAAGAGTTGTATCAATCTTCTTATCTAACTCTTGGGAAAGGGTGTTGTTAAACCAAATGGCATCAATCGTGTGATGCAGAGACATGTGGCCAAGTTTCTAAAAGGTCAAAAGTATAATCTATCTCTGAAGATACGTAATGAGACATTTCTGTGAAAACAGGCCATCTCTGTGTCTGTGTGCATTTGCAATTGTCCATTACCAAACTGAATTTGGCAAAATATACCACATCTTATTATATGTCTTGTTGATGTGTTATGCATCTGAAGGGGTGTAGTTCAGAGAGCTGCAACGTTTTTAAATGTTATGTTTCAAATTTACTAATGAGCCATGAGGGGATGGGACGCATCATTGACTTCGAAAGCGACTGGTGAATGTTTCCAAAAACACAATGAATTATGCATTTCAAGCACAGCTTCACAGCAATGAAGATACATTATTAAATATTAAAAAAGGTCTGACAGAGAGTTTAAGCAAAAGAGAGTAAGGGCCAAACTCTCTCTGTGTGTGTGTGTGTGTGTGTGTGTGTGTGTGTGTGTGTGTGTGTGTGTGTGTGTGTGTGTGTGTGTGTGTGTGTGTGTGTGTGTGTGTGTGTGTGTGTGTGATTTACCAATGTTCAGTCTTAGTCCTATAATAAATTCACAAATAAAAGAGAGAGGTGGTAAAGTGGGTGGAATATATATATATATCTTTATGAGTCTTTCCTCACCAATGTTTTTGACGATGTTGAGGCTGTGGCAGATTGTCTGGGGGCCTTCTCCATTGCTGGGTACCCTGAAAGGGAAAAAAAAGTCATGCTACCAAAAAAATTACCTTCCAGTTAGGTGTGACAAAAAAAATCGGAATTAATAATGTATCCGTTATCTGTTTACCATATCCTAAATAATTTGTTTGTTTTTTCAGCTTTCTTTCTCTTTTTCTGATGCATGGATTTTTATGGATTTTTATATTTCAGTATTGACTGAATTTCATTTTGTTATGAATGCCTTGTTTCCATATCATTTCTTAAAATAAAAATGATACAAATTAAAAACTATACACTACTGTTCTTATTGTTTCTTAGTTTGTTTTCTTTTTCAGATTTCTGGATATTTGTTTAGCTATCTATATGTATTTTTGTTTACTGTATTCCAATGCATTATAAATGCCTTGTTACCATATAATTTCCTAAAGTGCAAATACAAAACAAATGTGAAAATGATGCAGTGATGTTGGTGCATTCCAGCACACAGACAGCCAGGAATCAAGATTCCTCTTTGCAATATTGGATGGGAAATGAAAACACTCAACCACACAATGAGTCACAGCCCAATCTCTCCATCACCTATTTTCTCACTTTGTCTTTGTCATTGTGTTGCTCTCAAGCAAAAGTACCAAGTGTATTTCTGATCAGGAGCAGAACCCCACAGTTTAATCTTTATAAAAAACAATCCTTTCCATTTCCACCCTCTACCCCTCTCTGTTTCTAGTCGTTAGATCTGACCTGAACTTGGCGTTCTCCGGGTCTGCTCCCTCAACGCTGGTCCGTGGTGAGTTCATGGTCTTCACTATGACCTCCTGCACAGTGCACGCTGCAGCTGTTTTCTCAGACAGCTGTTTTATGTCTCCGCTATGAATGTCGTGAGTCCGGTAAGGGATCATGTCTTGTGTAAAACCTTGATGCTTGCTGTTGGAGGCAGCAGATATGTCCAAACTCCTCCCTCCTCCCACTCCTCTTCTCTTATCCACAGCATCTTTTCCGTACAGAGCATGTCTGCTGCTGGCCTCCCCATTGCTTGGCAACGGAGTCCTGGAATGATGGAGCTGTGGCGAAAGCTGAGGGCTACATTTGAAGGCAGAAACACACACTTTAGAATCACATTTATAGCAGCCCTATCTACGTAGAAACTATAGTAGCTATACCTATTTCATGTGTTTTTCACAGTTGTATGTCTAGTTGTTTAAAGTTGAGTTCATTGCTTTTGTGCAGCAACCTTCAGCCAGCTTGTATTTGACATTCAGTTCCCTAACTCATTGGTTGGATTCTTAAAAGGAAGCATTTCTAGTTCAAAAACGGTATGTTAATACTGTAACTAGGGCTGTAAAAGTTAACGCCATAATAACGAGTAAACAGAAATTCCTTTTTAATGCCACTCATTTTAATCTATGATTATGGCCCTCTGCCTGCCCTGAAGTTTGGGAAACCAGGAAGCAATGGAGCAGCAGACATGTTGTGTATGGCAAGCAGAATCATACTTCAAATGGAAAAAGAAAAGGCCCTTACTGGCGTACATCAAGTCTTAAAACCACTTGATGACCAGCCATACAACTCATGCAGAGAGGCCCCCTCCCCCTCACCAAAAGCAGACAACTCTGGATATTCTGCAACATATAGACGCATGGACTATGCACAAGCAACAAACTTTAAACAGTGATTGATAATGGGTGGCTACAGCTTTTTGTGGAGGACTAGGGTCTGCATCAAATAATTTGCATTGCATCCAACTACACTGAAAAAACTGAACCGTTGACTTTAATCAAATGTATTATGTAAGTGAAAATTCATATAACTGTATTAGGTTAGTTGAAAGCCATAATATTAAGTTGAACCAGATATTATTACATTGCAGATATGTTTTATTTAAACTTAATATTATTGTTTTCAACTAACCTAATACAGTTATGTGATATCTGTTGACATAATACATTTAGTATCAACGTTTCAGTTTTCAGTCCACTGTTTGTCCACTCAATTCTGATTGGTTGAACAGTGCATTATCCCGAACCACAGTTCTCACAGCTTCAACAAAAATGATCAAGATATTGAGCCATATCTTGCTGGCAAAATACATCTAGCAGTTATCCTTGGATCTTAATGAGCACTACATCAGGAGCTTTGACCAAAAAACGGTTAGGGAGGACCTTCACTTCGTTTAAGATGATCATATTGGAACAGCGATACTGTCTTATGGGACCAAGTTCCTCACAGGTCAAGTAATTACTCCTGAGCCAGCTCTCTCTGCTGAACGAAGGCTGTGAGGCGTGGGTGAAAGTTATGAAACATTGTTTATTGACCTTTTAGCCTTTTTTTTGTTACATGTACTTTCTGTCATGAAGGTCAGATAGGGGTTTATTGGAGGAATCCAGTTACCGTTGGCAACCTGTAGGAAGTTGAACCAAGTGCATGCATCACTGCCAATTTAAAGAGCGGAAATCAGACAAACCCCTACCATGTTTAATCTATAAGTATGTTATTCCCTTAAACTGGTAGAGTTATTGCCTTTTGTTCACCGTCGCAACCTCTACTGTAACCCCAGGTGTTATAAAACGTTACGTTTCTCCCAGTGATAAACTCAGAACAGTTTGACTTGATAAGTTGTAGTCAAACATTCACTGAATAACTGACTGAAAGTAACGTGATTGTTCTTTCCCATCAGACTAAGACCATCTTGTATCATCTCCACTTTATGGTTAAATGGGTCAACATTGTAACAAATTGTTCTCTATAAGCTTGCCACCCATACTGAAATGCCAAAAAGCAGAAAGGACAAGGTTAGCATTTCCTTCATGGTCACATTGAGAACTCAGAAGCTAGACCTCTGTTCCCTCACCTCAGACTCCTTCTCTTATCGGCAGATGAATAAAAGAAAAATTGAGTGAGTGAGAGACTCATGTCTATAACCTGTTCTCTGTTTGTTCAGCATGGCATGCCTACAATTCAGATGTTAAGTGGTTCGGTCCACAGCCCCTGAACATAACATGTCAAAGTGTACTTGAGCAAGAGACTCAACCCCATATTGCTCCAATAAGCATGAATGTGATTATTGAAGTGTATGTAAGTTAATTTGGATAAAAGTGTCAGCTAAATACTGTCATAAAATGTAATGATGTGCTATATTTCATATCTCAGTCTTCAGATCAAGCTGCCTATTGTTGAGTCTTCAAAACCACAAGCCAGACTGCAGTATCAATTGTTGACTTATGCTATATGCTTGTTTTGAAATAAGAAAACAGTACTGTGTCTTGAACCTTCAGCATTCTGCTTCCTGTGACCACAGTCTTCAGCTCAAAACTGAATTCATTAGGAGACGGCTGTCTGTCTCAATGAATTGGCCTTCAAACTGGATAGCCTTGTGTGCTGATCGAGGCCCGATACGTAGAGTAAGTAGTATGTATAAAAAGTGGATTGTGTGCAGAGTTTAAACAAGCCCTGTACGTGCGTGTTTGTTTTACGGGCGTTTTTGTGTTCAGTGTTAGGGTTGGGCATTGGAGGCATGAGGACTCACCGTCTAGCCCTTGGCAACAAAGGTGATTTTCTGGGTGGGAGAACTTTAGGGGGGGAGAGCCCCGCTCTGCTAGATGGACTGTGGTCCAAATGAGGATCTGGAAAAAGGGAAGGAAAAATAAAAGTATTTAGATTAGATGAGATTTAACTTTATTGTCATTCAAATGCCTTTAGCGTCTAACCAAGAGTGCAAAAGAAGTAGTAAAGTGCAGTGTGATATATGGGTATGATATAATAATATAAATATGGCAGGTATAAAAAATAAAAAACACATAAAGTATGAACTGTATTAATGGGTATAAACTACACTATGAAAAGTATATCAGGAAAAACAGTGAGAATCATTATTTCTTCGTTTTCTATCACCTGTTATAAACACACAAACACACACACACAAAACAATCAAATCACAGAGTAACCATTAAGCTTTAGTGGAAGATTATTTCATCTAAGTATTACAAAGAAACGTATGCTTTAGAAGTTGTTGTAATGCAAACTTAATGCCATTAATATGGGTACAATAAACATATTTAACTTGTTCTAGCACGGCTCGTCTGTAAATGCCGCTGTATTCCCCTCATCCCGATACCAAAAGTACTATAAATTGCTTTCAGCCTATGACAAGGAAAAAACCTGCGTCAGGTTTAACCATATTCAAATTGTGCAATAAGCTAATGATGTGCCAGTGTTTTTACACCTGTTTAGTGCTGCAGGCTAGTGGCAATCCAACTGTAAGTGGGTGTGTGTGTTTAACTTTGACTTGAACATGCCCATGTGTGACACATAAATGCAGTATCTACAGCTCTATGAAAAAGTTGACAAAAGACGGAGTTAACAAAATAAAACACTAAAAGCACTGAGGATACACTGATGTATAAATCGAGCAGCGCGTAATAAATTACAAGAAGGAAATATAAGAAAAATATAATGTTCAACAGTCTATATATAAACTGCCTGTGTTTTAATGTATAAAAGCATATCATTAAATACTGTATACGTTTCCAAACCCAGGGCCATGGGACATTTCTTGCAGGGCCACAAGGACGCAATCTTAGTTGGTAAGATAATCTGATAAAGCTGGATAATAGTTTCAACACTTCACAGGCTGTTTGTGTTGTAATCACTTTTTACTAATTATGTAAAGACACAGTGCCTATGCACTTCTTGTCACTGCTCTAAATCTAGTTTGAACTGATTTCAAACCATCTCATCAATGCTTCAGGACAGATTCTGATAAAAAGCATACAACACGGTTGGATAGAAATCCCTCTAATAACACAACATATTCTAATTGTGTCTCATTATAGAAGACGTTCCCTCTCTCTGTGACCTTTGAATTCTATCATAAAATGACTATGTGATGGGTTTAGACATGTGGAGTTGGCCAAAGTCTACTTCACATCATGCATACTGCAAAACATGCAGTTTAATGTGGGAAAGACTGCAAGCCTGATTATTCATCACTGGCAAAGCCACTAAAAGTACAAGAAGACTTGATGAGACTTGAAAAAATAACTCTTCGGGGTGTGACAGCAGTTAAAAATGACGTTTACTGTACCTTGAGTTTTGTTGTTGCCAGACACTATTCATAAATCCTGTTTTCTTCTGAAAACACTGACTAACCTGTTCCCACCCCCCCCGAAACATTCTTACTATCTTACTTTTTTATTTATTTGTACCTTTTATTTTAAATTGTACTTAACTTCTTATATTTGTATAAATATTTTAATTCTATTTTATCTTATTTAATTATAATATGGAACAAATGTCACGAAACCGAATCTCCCCAGGAATAAACAAAGTATTCTGATGGTGATGATTCTTAAGGATCAGTCACAATTCTGTACTATTCGTAAAACAGTTTGGTCTAATTGGTACCTGGAGATAACATCAGGAAATGTAATTCAATGAACAGAATTTAGCATTAGGACTGGAGACTGCCTCTGAAAATCCATTACCGTTTTTAGTTTCCTTGTTCCATGTCAATTGATTATCATGTTATCAGGCCTCACTTCTTTATGACTGAAATGTACTTTTTTTTTTTTCTATGGCTGATGCTGACTGGTTATGTATTAAGTAATCTCTTCAATCCCTCCCTTTGAGGCCTCTCCGAGATGCCGGGCAAAGTCTAAGCCCGAACACTTTATTGTTGCATGTGGTGTGGCTCTGTGAATATGGTGCATTCCTTTAGATGACTATGCACAGGATAACAACACCAGAACAATACCTTTGTTTTGGCACATTAAGTTATCACTTTTATTCAGATGATGTGATTCTGCTTCCTGAAGGCTGTTGAGTATTGATCTCAAATTGGCAAATATAACTACTTTCCAAGTGATTTCAGACTCTGATGTAAACCTAATATTTGGTTGCTTTAATTCAACATACAAACTTCAATTGGTTTTAGCTTGAAATCATGACCTTTAGAAATGAAAGCACTGTCATTACAGACAATGGTGAAGTTCAATCAAAACTAGTTTCTCAGGTTCTATTTTAATCTAGGGATAGGAGCACCAAGCCTTTGTTCCAGTTAAATTCATTTGAATGACGTGCCAGATGACAACAATGTGTGTAGAACAACAATGTACTGTATGTATGCAGTACATTGTTGTTCTACACATTGTTGTCTTTAGTAGGAAGTAGGAAATTAGGAACTAGTAGGAAAGACAGAACTGAGTTCTTAACCAATGCATATGCTGTGATTCTCTCCAATGGTGCCTGTCAAAGCATTCATCATCAGGAGCAAACTGGTTAGAATCGGGCCAAAAACCAAACCCTTCAGGGCCACAAAAGTTGAGAAAAGTTCCACAAATTTGAGTTACAGTTGAAAAAACGGTGTGAAAATTCAGATCATGTTTTCTTACTGTCAGGCTGCTCAGATGGGATCCTCTTCTTCCTCATGGACCGATAAAAGCGAGAGTTCCTGCGGCAAGTATCCCTGCTGAACCCCGATTTTGTGTCATCTTCATCTTCGTCATCTTCGCGGCTGGGTTGAACTACAGGTGGTGGATGCTTCTCCGAGGCATCTTGTGATTTCTGCCACAACTTGCCCCTGAACAGGGCAGTCACAGACATGGCAAAGGATTGCTGTTGCTTTCAGAGAAAAGTCAGGGAATTTCTGTTTGACTTTGAGAAAAATGGGAGAAAGTCATAATCAGCCAGAATCCAAGAGCAAATCCATGACTGAAAAATCAAAAGATCTGTTGAAAAGTAAATCCAAGCAACAACTGAGAGAGAGAGAGAATTGTTGTGTTGGCTGCCAGTGTGACAGCAGTGTTGTTAGCTACGCAGGCAGCCTGTTGAATCTGCAGAGTGCGTCACTTTTTTCTGCCTAAACTGTAATTATTGCATGTATGACTCTCTCTCCCTTTCTTGCGCTTTGTCCCTCCTCTGATAGGTGCCTTCCCTCCGTCCCTCTCTCTACACCACCCTGTTACGTACTGACATTCCTCAACTCAACCTGGCCCTACCAGCCAGCCTGTCCCACGGCTCCAAAACTCTCCCTGTTGTGGAACCTGAAAAGTCACCTGGTGACTCTCTGACTCTTTGTTTCAGAGCTCCTCAGAGCCCATCACAAAACCTGTATGATGGGCCAAATAATTCAAGGTAAAGAATAACAAATAAATCCTCCATTTTGCAGGTGGTGTGTTTTATTTCCTTGTTGATAGTGAATTGGTCATACAGTAATTGTATCTGCAGTCAGCTGACAAGGAGAGTTTAAAGTTCACTTTCACTCTTTCTTTTTTTTCCTCAGTGCAATAATCCTCACTGTGCTGTCTTTCTACTATAACACTGTGTTCTGTATTCAGAGTAACAAAGACAAAGAATGTCTATAGAGGCAGAGAGATTCCCTTCATCGTTGAGACAACACAACCCTGTGGGTTACAATACAATAATGGTATTCTTTTTCATAATTGTTTTGGATTGCCCTCTATAGTCTTTAATAAATGCATTGCATGCATTACAGTTTGGTTTGGTTAAGTTATTATAATATCCCTACATTCTGTTTTTTCAATGCAATTCATTGTATTCACAAACAGTTCAAAAATACAGTACAATCATATATTCTCAATATATATAAAATGGGCCACCCCAAAAAGCCAAAAATTATTTACAATATAAATTATTAACATATCTCAAATTAGAGAGTTGGTCATTCCAGAATTGGAGGACAATTTAGACACCATCATTTTTGAAAAATGAACCTTTTATTTTATAATTTGTTTTAATGTATTTAGGAAAAACAGATAATAAACCATCAAAAAAAGTGATTTGCCCAGCTAAGGCATCAAATGTATATTTTCCAATGAAGAACCCTGTTACTCTAATTATAGTAACAGGGTTGAAAGTAACAGGGTTGAAAATCAATGCTAATTTGAGCTTTAACCTCAGGAATTATTGCTAGATGTAGCATGGAATGCTACTTTCAAAGTAGCATTCCATGCTACATCTAGCAATAATTCCTGAGGTTAAAGCTCAAATTAGCATTGATTTTCAACCCTGTTACTTTCAACCCTGTTACTATAANCGCTTCTTGGTGACCAACTTGTCAAATATAACATTTAAAATAGGGATTGTATTTTGTTTTTTTAGTATTATTATACTGATATATGTCTCTTGTAATGGTAAGATCAATTTGTTAAATCATAAACATATTTTAAATAACAGTAATTTTGCACAGAAGGTGTGTCCCTCAACATGCGTTCAACCCTGTTACCTAAACCTTTTTAGATTGGCAGAGGAAGTGAAAAAACGGTAAATCAAATGACACAGTAGAAGTGACATCAGCAAGCCATGTGCGAGTGGGTAGACCAAAACTAAGTCCTCTCTTTTATTTTTCATATTTTTACAATCTTTTCAGTCTTAAAAGAGTGCGGCACTCTGACCCACTCAACCCTGTTACTGATATTATCAGAATAAAGCATATTCATTTCAAAGTGATCTTTCTTGCATTAGATATCCAACGTTTGTCCTTGCCTTGAAAGTAGCATTACATGCAATAATTCCTGAGGTTAAAACTCAAATTAGCATTGATTTTCAACCCTGTTACTATACTTAGAGTAACAGGGGTAATTCTTCATTGGAAAATAGTACATTTGATGCCTAGCTGGGCAAATCACTTTTTTTGATGGTTTATTATCTGTTTTTCCTAAATACATTAAAAAACAATTCGAAAATAAAAGCTTACATTTTTCAAAAATGTTGGTGTCTAAATTGTCTCAATTCTGGAATGACCACGCTAACTTTA